GGGGGGGCTCGGGTTACTTTTCCTTAAAGGGTTATTCCCTCCTTGGGGGGGGTGTCTGGGTTTGGGCTGTGCAAGGGAGGGGGGGGCTGGTGCTTTTTGGGGTGCTGGACCCCCCTGTTTGCAATAAAAAAAGGGGGGTTTATTGCCTTGACCTTATCCCTAAGCAGGGTGTGGGGGGAGCACCACCCTGAAGTGGGGTGCGGTGGTTGGAGAGCCCGGTGCTGGCTCTGGCTGCTGCAGAGCGAATGTAGGTTAAAATAAAGGGTGGAGGGGGGAAAAAGTAGGTTAAGAAAAAACTGAGCAGCAGCTGCCTGGAAAAAGAGATAGGAGCTGTGTCGGGTTTGGTGTTTTGTTTTGTTGTTTTGGGGTTGTTTTTTTTCCGGAGCTGGAAAATCCCAGGGCTCCCAACCAAATACCTGCGTCAGCCGGGATGCTGCGGTGAGGGGCTGTACCCCAAAATGGGGCTGGAGCGTGCCGCTGCCTGGGCTCTTTGCGTGACGGCGATGCCTCTGGGATCATTTGACTTTAATATCGGATTTTTGCCATGGTTTGGTTGTTCCCACAGCTCTGATGGGGCCCCAGGGGGGGATGCAATAATGCTGAGTTTTGCTCCGTCTGCCGGACAATCCCCCCCTTGTCCCAAGCTGCCTCTGAGAACTGTTCCCCAAAGTGTTTCTGAACAGTTGCTCCTTTTTTTTCCCCATTTATCTGCAGGAGCCATCAGCTGAAACCCTGTTCCCCCATAAGGAGGGGAAGCCCTCGCTGGAATCCCAGTGGGCAGCCTTGGGTTACAGGCTGTATTAAGGAAGGGCTGGGAATAAAAGGCTTGTGTGATCCAGTGGGATTTGGGGGGGCTACCAAATCCAAGTTGCTTTCCTCGGTGTGTTTGCATCGATGCACTGGCCAAATGGGGTACAGGGCTGGTGGAGGTCAGGATGTCCCCAAAAAGCAGCTGGGTGTGGCACTGGTGGGGTTATTTTTTGGTTTCCTCTAGTTCTTGGGGGGCAAATTATGTTATTTTTAAGTTTCCCCCAGGGAGCTTCAGGGCTTCTCTCCACTGCGCCAGGGCAGCCGGGCATCCCCCCATCGCCAGCTGCAGGTTTATGCCTGCATCCCCCATCCCCACCTGGGAGGTCCCTGAGCTGCCCCCAAAAACGGGCACTCAGTCCTGGGATGGCCGTGACTGGGCAAAGCTCCAGTGATAACCAGGAGCAGGTCCCCCCTGGTCCTTGTACCTCCTACATCCCCGCGGCGGGGTCTTGGTCATCTAAGAGATGTCCTTAATCCTTGGATTAAGCTTGGCCTTAGATCTGCTTTACCTGAGGCCAGCCCTGTTCCTGGTGGGATTTAAATCCATTTATCTTGAGATGGTGAGCCGGGATGCTCCGGCAACCTGGGATGCGTGGGCTCTGCCGGCCCGTGGCATCGCTCGGCCACGGCTCGTGGTCCCCTGGCCACGGTGGGACCTGCCCATCCCCTTCCAAGGCCATCGCGGCTCCTTCCCCAGCAGAGCAGCACCCCAGACATCTTGGGGCGTCCTTAAGGTGCTGCTATTAAAAGCTTAAATACCACCACCCCGAAGGATTAAAATGCTTCACGTTAGGCTTAAACTTGAGTTTTATTAGTGCTAGTTTACAGGGTGCAGGACTTGTACCGGTTTCACCCTCCCTCCGCGATCGAGGGGCACATCCCAAGTCCCGGGGGGATTCGGGATGTGTCCCCATGGGATACCATCGCCCTGGGACGATGCTTGGCAGGGAGGTGGCACGTGGTGGGGCTCAGGCTGGCTGGGGTGATGGTGGCAGCTGGCTTAGCCCCCACAAAAATCATGGGGTCCCAGCTTGGCATGGATGGTGCTAGTGAAGATGGGGCTTGAGGGGTCTTGGTTTGGGGGTGCAGCCCCTTAGAAGCGGAGAAGGGCTGGTTGGCTTCATGCTGGCACCCTGATGGGGTGCTCCCTTACTGGGAGCTACTGGGAAGAACTGGAGCACAGAGGATGCTCATTTTGGGCTGTGCTATTGTGTCCCAACCCACATCCTACAATTACCCGGCTCTGCCCTGCTCGCCCTCCAGCATCTCCCCTCCTGAGTTTAATTAGCTGCATCTCAGACTGTTGGTGCTGGCCACTAATTAGGAGAAACTCATCAGGCAAAGGCTGTAACGAAGCTCCGGTGTGGCTCTCATGGGACCGTGACGACCGGGGGAATTTCCATGCGGGTGGCGGAGGCTGGATCCGGGTTTGTGTTATTATTTATTTTTTCCTCCCTTCCCCTGTGCTGTCGGCGTTTATTTTAATTTTAACAACTAATTGCTGAACCCGGAGAGGGGTGATGAGCCTGTGGGAAACACCTTTTGTTTCACTTGATTTTTAAAATTCTTTTTTTTTTTTTAATGACTTCATTTCCTTGTGGCAGATGCATAAGGATTTCCTCCTGAGCAGGAAAAACCTTTATTTAATGGTGTTTAGCATCATCTGCTCCTTCCCCTGCTCCTTGCACTGTTGGTCCTGACTGCGTTACAGGGTTGGTCCCTCTCCGGTTCGGGATGGAGTTGGGATCTGCGAGGGAAGGGGGTGATGCTGGTCATCCCACAAAACCACTAATGCAACTTTTTGGGGGATGGTGGAGGACTTGTTTAGGCAGGTTCCTTGGAGCATCCTCATGGGGGGAATAAGGCCCCCAAATTGCTTCTCCACCAGGATTTTTCCCAGATGGTGACCCTGGTGCTCCCCCTTGGGCAGGTCTCCCCCAGTGATGAAGAGGAGCGGGATGTGCTGGTGGCTCGTCACCGTCCTGGGGGTGAGTACAGCCTCACCCATCCCATCTCATCCCATCCCATCCCTCTGCATCTCTACTTTCGGCTCCTCCGATGCTCAAACCCATCCCGGCATCACCACGCCACAGCCACAATAGGGCACCCCAAAATGTTTCTCTTGCAAACCTGGAGCAGCTCAGCCCTGGGATGATGCTTAATTTGGGTCCAGGGGGATTTTGTTTTTTCCCCGAAAAATTCTTCCTCCTCCTTTTCTATCCTTTGCCAAAGCTTCTTCCAGGGCAGGGGCTGATAGGGAATGCGGCTTCTCCCTCGCCGCTCCCCCTGGGGCCACCGTGTTGTCCCATGTCTGGGAGATGCTCCTGGGATGGGCCGTGCAGGTACCCACCGGTGGGTTTGCATCGCCCATGGTGAGTTTGCCACCACCGTGTCACTGGTGATGGGTTTGCATCGGCCGCGGTGCATGCGATGGGATTGCATCTGTCGCACCCCTTGTGACAGGTCGGTATCCGCCACGGTGCATGCGATGCATTTGGATCCATTGCAGCATCGGTGATGGGTTTGTATCCGCTGCGGTGCATGGGACGGGTTTGCATCCATCACGTTACTTGTGATGGGTTTGCATCTGCTGTGGTGCATGCAGCGGGTTTGCATCCATCATGTCACTGGTGATGGGTTTGTATCTGTCATGGCACATGTGATGGGTCTGCATCCATCATGCGATGGGTTTGCGTCGGCTTCAGTGCATGCGATGGGTTTGCATCCATCATGTCACTGGTGATGGGTTTGCACTGGCCGTAGAGCGTGCAATAGGATTGCACCCGTCGCATCGCTTGTGACACGTCAGCATCCGCCACCGTGCATGCAATGCGTTTGCATCCATCGCGTCGCTTGTGATGGGTTTGCGTCTGCCATGGTCCGTGTGAGAGTTTTGCATCCATCACGTCGCTTGTGATGGGTTCAGCTCTGCCGTATCGCCTGCACCGGAGCCACATCGCTGCCAGCGCAGGCCTCGGAACAGCGGGAAAGCCGGAGCAGCCGGCGCTGAGCACCGCTCTTTCCGCAGGTGCTGAGCGGACCCGGCGTGGGGGCCGGGAGCTGCGGACCCCGGGAGCACGGGACGCCGGGATGCCCACCTGGAGAGGAGCCCGCCGGGGTAAGCCGTGCCCACCCATGGCACATCGACCCCGGAGGGAAGGCGCAGGATGCGGCCATCGCTCACCTCCTTTTCCCTCCGGGCAGACGTGCAGCTCGGCGCAGGGTCCGGTGGGGACGTGTCGAGCTTGTCCCCCCGGTACCTTCTCACCGGGGGACATATCCTGCTCTGCTCACACCCGCTGCCGAGCCGGGAACAGGATCCTGGTGGCACCGGGAACGGCGATGACCGACAGCCGCTGCGGAGCCTGCCTGCCGGGGTGAGCCCAGCCCTTGGGGGGGGGGCGGGAGAAAAATGCTGCAAACCCCCAGCCCCGATGCCGCTCGTGGGCCATATCCTGACCCTCCCCTCCCACCCCGCAGGTTTTACAGCCCTGAAGGGGAGAGGGAGCCCCGGGGCCGGTGTCTGCCCTGCGCCGATGCTCCCCGCAGCACCCCGGGGTGCCCAGGTGGGTGCTTGGGCTGGAGGCGTCGCCCCGGTTCCGTGGGTGCCGAAAAAGCCTGTGCCGGCGTTCGCCCCGGGATACGGCGCAGGATGCGTCCCCCCCTTGAGATGAGGTGTGACGTCCTGCCGGGATGTGGCAGCTGAGAACGTCTCCGCTCGTGACACGAGTGGCTTCTGCTTCCCCGGGGCGCCAACCCTGCAGCGGGGCTCCTGGGAGAAACGGGATTTAATCCCAACAAAACCCTTCTCTGAGGCTGATCCAGTGCTTCCCCTCCCCAGGCCGGCGGCGAGCCCGCAGCCCCGAAATACCGGGCCGGCCGTCGGGGACCAACAGGACGTGGGTGGCCCTGATGGGTGAGGAAGAGGAGGAGGAGGAGGCGGCGGCGGCGCAGGCGGCCGTGCTGACCATCGTCCCTGTCTTCTGCGCCATGGGGTTGTTGGGCATCCTGGTCTGCAACCTGCTGAAGAAGAAGGGTTACCACTGCACCGCCAGCAAGGACCCCCAGCCTGGCGGCACCGGTGAGCCCGGTTGTGCTGCGGACACCTTTCGGTCATCCCACGTCCGTCTCCCCTCGCTCAGCCCATCCCCGTGGCTTCTGGTCTTCGTTGTCCCAGGGCATCCTCCTCATCCTTGGTTGGGGGCAGGGGGGTGTTTATCCCCCATCACTGAGTCCCCCCAAAACTTCTGCTTCCAGGTCCCAGCTCCATCTACCAGCTGGAGGACGCCAACGAGGACACCATCGGGGTGCTGGTCCGGTTGATCACCGAGAAGAA